AAATATAAAATTTCCTGCGAATTTGCTTAGTTATATTTCAACAAATAATTTGTGTATTATTGACGTTCCATTGTTTTGCTAAATTGTAAGTCAAATTATGTTATTGTTTGAATATTGAATAAAAACCTCTGAATGAGGCAAAGAGAAGAAAAAAAAATCATATTATAGTGTCTTTCTCTTTTTTGTAGGGGTTGTTTCTGTTTCTATGAACCTGCTTTTCTTCATCAATACTAATACTTGTGAAATACAAGGTGTCTTAACGTTTATCTTTTCAATATCATTTCCAAGTTTCCTTTTTATGGTTTCTATCGTGAATTATTTATCTATTCGAAAATTCGGGCTTCTTCATTTCTTACATACTTCCAGAACTTTTTTGATAAAAGTCCCAATTATGTCATGAGCTATGTCAGAGGAAATATGAAAGGCTCCAATAGTTTTTTTATTACATTTTGCATCTATCAAGGACACTGGAAGATAAACCCTATGTAAAGAATATTTCATTTCCTTTATTAATTTTATTTAAACGCGGTAACTGTCTCAACCTCAACGGCTGTTTTTCAAAAAATCCATGTGAACTGAATACAAATATACAAATTGTGATACAAACAAAAGCCAGTAACAAAAGATAACAAAACATAAACGATTCAAATCAAAACAAAGGAAAACATAATTGGCATGGGTAACTATGAAGAATAAGAACTTTTATTTTAAAAATGAATTAATATAATGTACAAAATATGAATTAACAAGAATTAATAGAAAGTAGATAATAATATTAACAGAGAGGTTTATTGTAAACCGAGAGTCTGATTGAATCTCCTCCAATGGGTCAGCGCCCCCACCCAAATCGTGTATTACCTAGTTGGTGACATGATGTTTTTTTTTAAACATTTCTATTCTCTATGGTTTTCAGCTCCTGTATAATTGTATTCCGGCATTTCGCCCCCCCCCCCTATAACTGGAACTCCTCATCTTATAATTCGTTTGGCCCTTAGGTACTTAGAAATTATGAAAAGAGTGTCGGGTATTATAAACGGGGCTGCGCTTTTCAAAGAAACGTAGAATACATTTTGGTGCGTTATTATAAAATATTTCATGCATCATTATCAATGTCCTTTTTAAAATCTTTATAAAATGTGATCTCAATTTTTTTTCATTCAAAATTTGTTTATGGTCATAGATAATTACTTCATTGATAAGTAACTATGGAATATTATTCCAGACTTTCTTCTTAGGTAAGAATTGCTGCATATAGATGAGATGAAAGAAGAGTATGCTATCAGAGCTGTTTTCAATACATTGTCCAATATGCTCACGTTTTGCTTTCCTGATAACAGCGGTGACTCTATTTCTTAAGGATTTGTAAATGCGCCAGTTAGCGTCATTTTTAAAACTTTTTGGCAATCTGTTTAATAGCAGCATTTTCCTTTTCTATCAAATTTAGGATGTTTTGATTAATTAATTTTGATGTTTTATTCTTGATTCTCATTCTTTTGATGGGTGCTGTATCATCCAAAATAGAATTAAATTTTCTTTCAAATTACACGTAGCACTTTCCAAGCACCTAGCATTATTTTCTTTTTCTCTTATATGTGTTTTGATATACCTGGAATTTCACGCTTTACTTTTTCTTCTTATTCTACAGATGTCCGTGTCTTTCATTCACATCAGACCGCTGGGATTGTTGTTAGTAAAGACATTGTGTATCACTATAATTTCCCAACAGACCCTGGGATGTTTCCGCTCTGACTATAGCCCGCAAGCAACCTGGCATTGGTTGGTTTAAGAAACATCTACAAAATAGAGAAAGAAAACTACATTCCGTGACCTTTCTTTATTCAATAATTCCAGTAACTGAAGAAATAGCGCTGTATTTTTCTTTTCTCTGGGGCAATAAAAGCTACCCGCAGTTCGATTCGAAGTCATGTTTTCCTTATTAGGAAATACACTATGCGATAATTTTCGGACTAAATAACCAGTTTTTCCCTCACTTCATTTTAGTATTATAATCTCTGCTGTTTAGGGAGAACAAAACTCCTAGAAGCAGTGAAAGCTACTTTAAGATGAGACTCGAGTACATGGGTCTTTATATGAGATATGAAATCAGACAGAGAGAGAGGGAGAGCTAGACGTTCATTATTGGGGTTAAAAGTCCTCTTTGTGCTCCATGAGGAGTAATTGAAATATGCGATATTGAATCGAATTATGGTTGTGAATCGGTGTGGTGAGAAGAAACTATTTAAAAGCCCTTTCGAGCGGTCAATAACATAAATATCATAACGGTTTGAATTTTCAAAGTGGTAAACGTAGAAATAATATACATGCACAAATACGCACAAAATTAATGGGACAATCCCCCAAAAGATCCATACCTGTTTTGTACTTATCACTCGTTATGTATTTTCATCGAATTTATTTTTGTTCGTTTAATCCGAAAATTCTATATTACCTTTTAGTATTTTTCTTTTTCCGAAAATCCTTGTTATTGTTTTTGAAATGCTTTTTTCTTCTTATAGTTCGTCCTTTCTTCCCCTCTTAAGTCTTAGTGGATATTTATTGCTATTTACTTCTTATTTCATTCTTCTTAGTTTATTCCTCTTTTAACCCTTGCATTTTAAAGGGGAAGTCAACCCTAATATTGAATTTTTTTGATAGAAGCGGAATAATGAGAGGATCAGGTCACTGAAAGTTTGATGATCAAAAACAGATTAAACATGAAGGCCCGAATTCACAAAGCAAGGTTTGAGCTCAGACCAAACTCAGGCCAAACCTCCTTTTGTTATTTACAAACCTGGTTTGTAAATAACAAAAGGAGGTTTGGCGAAACAAAAGGAGGTTTGAGGTCAAACCTTGGTCTGAGCTCAAACCTGCTTTGTGAATTCGGGCCAATAAAGTTATAATTTTTTGAAGGTGCGTTCAATTAAACACAAATTGGCAACTCTGTGACGTATCTTGCGAGGTCCCCTCCAATTTTCATTGAACTTAAAAAAAAACCTTTTAAAATGTATATTTTCCCTTAAGAAAATTTTCTTACCCTTTAAGACTGCATGAATATTCAATTCATAAGTATACATAACTATTCAGCACAAAAGGCGTGTACAGAATTAAATGTTACAGAATTACGTGAACAGGATCAAGAAAATTGAATTCTATGATATAGATTACAAACAGGTTAATGACATTTTTTACTTATAATTCATTGGATAATACGTGTACAGAATTTATCATTTTAGTAAAAAAAAAAAAAAAGTTAAACTGACTAATGGCGAGTATTTGATTCAAGGAAACAATTTAAAAAAAAGTGAATTATTAATGCCGTCCAATCCATCATCAAACCGGCTACATACTGATGATAGCACGTAGTCACTGGTTTTAATTAAAAAGCATGTGCCACTGAATGAGTCAGTTTTATTTTACCTCATCCTATCCTCTTCCCTAACTGCAAACCGCATAAAAACGTGTCATTCAATCATGAAAATTACATCAATAATTTTCACTAAAAAGACGAATTCAACTTCTTCCGAAGAAGTTGACGAATTATAATGCTTTATCTCATTATTCTTTGATTAAGAAGCTCTTCATTAATTGCTAAGAATGGAGTAAGATAGAAAAAGGGACTGCGTTCTGACGTATATTTTTGTTTGGCACAGACGTGATCTGAAGTATAGATTTAACCGCCAAATCTCGAGGTGATAAAACAAAAGATATGTTGTAACAAATATGTCGTATAAAATCACGAAAACCACTTATCATATTGTGCGAGATATCTTGACGTGCTGTTAAAATTAATGTGTTATGACAGCTGACCATGTGAGGACAACGAACCACATATCTGTGCATAGTGAGCAGAGGGCATCTAATAAAATCGAATTTCACGTCACCAGAATCACAAACATAACCACCCAAGTGAAAACACGTAATAAATGAAGTCTCTAGCATTTATATACAACGGTTTGCACAACCAAAATCAAGAATGGAGGCCAATGAAGGTAACAAAGCTATCATAGCATTCATCTCTAAAAACTGTAATCGATAAAGAGTATTCTTTCAACTACATAGAATGCTACCGTAGTTCTCACTGATGAATTCCAATGCTTGTATTTTTACGTCATTCCTTTTCTGTTTCTAAGTTACTAGGAAGCAACCTCGGGTACCGAAATTAAACAACCCTGTGCAATTTTTAAGATTTACCACACTGAGCACATCTTTAACTCTATCAACTGGGACAGTTCTAAACTAAAACAAGCAGAACAGATCAAGTTAAAGATATTATTTGCAGCCAACATCAAATTCTGTAGAACTTTGCAGGATGCCCTATCTGTGAAATTTAAACGTTAGCAGTGTCCTAGTATTCAAATTATGCAAGGAAACCCGTTTATTTTCTAGACTTCACTGTCAGACACTATTGAGTGACCGACTGACTTCTTTTTTTCTCTTTGGTATAACATACATAAAATGAGCTGTAAAGGGTACATGAGCATTTGCTACATCAATAACCCACTTCTTGTAATAGCCCAAATTAAACTGATTCAATCTTTGCACAGCACAAAATGTACGACCATTCGATACAAGGGTCTGAAAATCAGACTATTACTAAATGGATTGCAATCACTAAAGTCGATTCGATAACTAACGGTCATTATTTTTCCACTTAAAGACATTTTCAAGCCCTTTCTTTTTGAGGGAAGTTCTAAATAAGTAATATCTTCCAAACGCCGTTGGAATTTAACCATTTCATTTTGGTGGCCTGCAAAAAAGGGCCATAGTACCTTTAAGGAGGTAAAAGTTCACCAAACGGTCAGGTAGAATCGGAAATCAATTGACAGAGCCAGAATCCAATAAAATGTTCTCATTGCACTAAAACGATAGGAATCACTGCTGGGATATTATTAAATGCACAAGCACTCAAGCTTTATGTAGTATTCAACGAGCGGTAAAGGTACCTCCATGTCAAATGCTATCCAAGTGAATACATACAATCATCGAGAGCGACAACATACCTGTAAGACCCAAGTTCCTATCCTCCATTAGGAGTTTGTAAGAGGAGTGTTCGATTAAGGAGTTTAAAACAACAGAACGTGCATCATGATCCATGTTCTTCAAAGAGATTAAACATTCCCAAGACATGACATTAGTCGTCATTAGCAATTATCCACCCACGTGTTAAATGGGAACCTGTAGAAAGGAATACCTTGAATGCCGTGAGCACCGAATACTAGCAGAGCCGGGAGATATTGGAGCGTCTTGAGCACTTTGAGTGGTATATTATGTGCGCTATAGATTATATTAGTATTATTGTTATTATTATGGAAATTAGTTCTTTCTTTACAATCAGTGGACAAATTAATTGTTTTGGGTAACTTTTCACTTGTCGTGATACAAGCTTTGAAAGGTCTGAAGAAGCTTGCAGCATGACAAGCTCAGGAAAACAGGTGATTTTCCACTGATTGTAAAGAAAGAACTAATTTTTAAGTTACATCACCAATCAGATGGAACCTCTTCAGCGATTCCCAAGACATTCTGATGTCAATAATTAAATGACACTTCTTATTACGTAGGGACAAGATTTTATACAACACTGGTATACCAATAGATTGAAAAAGACAGGATGCAAATAGTGCCCCTTTGCTGGCGATGGCATGCCACACTAGAACATGACGCACAAAGAAAGCGGACAAAATATACAGTTCCTCAGGTAGACAAAGGAACATCCCTTCACTGCTATTATGTAAAAAGGTGAATATGCATGTGACACCTGTTCTACACATATTTACAAAATAGCAGTGAAAGGATGTTCCTTTGTCTACCTGAGGAACTGTATATTTTGTCCTCTTTCTTTGTCAGTCATGTTCATAGTGCCAGTGATATGAGGTTTGTGTGGGCATACTTCTATCGAACAAACAAAACTTTAAAACTCGATTTCTAACAATGTTTGGCGCCCACTGTTACTATTTTTGTTGCTTTAAGTTCTTGTTTTTTAACCTAAAAATGGCCGGGCTGTTTTTCTGATATTTCAGCCGCGGGGTGACGAAAGAATAGGAGACAGAATGTCAAATGTCCGAATCGATGACATTCTGTCCATAATGTTAAGTTTATTCGCATGTTGTTGTGTTTTGTTTTGTTTTGTTATACCGATACAAAGTGATGGTACGCCGGTTTTAAAATGTTGGGCAAGTCCGTTTAGGGATAAGTAATATAATATACTCGCATAAGGGAAAAAGCAGTTGAATGCATGAAACATCATTCAAGTCTAACAAAACAACAGTAACATAAAGAGGTACTTTCAAATGAACAAGACTGTGTTGAAATCTGATTAAGCAGTATAGGCCTATACATTATCGAAGAATCAAACTATTACCAAATAAAGTAAAAGTCACTATTTTCAATTCACGTCATTTTAAATGATGCCTTTTTAGATAGAAAAGCAGAATTGATATCTCTACTGCAATCTATAGTCACATTGATCATGTTGGTGACGATTATGAGAATATACTTAGTTGTTGATCTCTTTTTTTTTCTCTCTCTCTTTTTAAAGAGAGATACAAGTTAATTCTTTATAATTTTACGATATCAACATTCACATGAAACTGACAATTACAACACAATTATGTTGTTAGAATCTCATTCACGATGCTTCCTACAATCTTGAATTTGGGGCTTTTGGACACGGGTGAATGTACATGTATGTGCAGCTTTTACTTTAATGCTATTCCAGTTCTCGAGAAACGCACTTAAAAACGTTGATGTTTCACGGGGGAGCATATGGTGATTACAAACCCCTCCGAAAAAGCCCTCGTCAATTGGGTGGACGTAGAAAATCTAATTGTGAGGTTATTTTAGGATTTGATCACGGTGGCCAGCCAGGGTTCTTTAAGTACATAACAGAGGCTTGGAGTACGAGGCTAAGTCTTCTCTCAGTTGAATCAGCTGAATACTAATCTATCACTTGTCGCCGGACTACTATTTTATTCCCCTCCCCTGCATGTGAATCCCAAGGTTAATTTAAAGATTACGCTCTCCAATTTTCTCCTTAGATCATGTCAATAGAGAAGCAATCGAACGGGACACCGTCCTATTCCCAATCAATTACGATGTACTCATGTACTTCTGATGTTTATTCACTTAATGAATGTTGTATTTATTATACAGAGGAATTGAAGGGCAATTGTAATTCGCGTCTCCGGAGCACAAAGCGTTGAAGGGCTTAAAGATTATTTTGGTTTAGGTATCATCTCGAAATTTCCTAATACGTCGTCGGTTACGCATCAACATAAGAGGACATTACTCGGACATACAACATTATGGGTGGTATGATTAAGTAACAAAAAAATGAAATGAAATGTAAAGTAAAACTTGTTAACGAATGTTTAGCCTGAAAAGAACAATCAATACGAGTATGTAGAGTTAATTATGAAAACTTGTGTCAAAATAAAAGGCGAGCTCTTTAAAAATTTGTCGTCATCATGGGATATTTACTTGCTAACCGAGCACTGTGAAGAGTAAAACGAAAAGTGCATACAATCATGTACGTAAATCGCAATGTCTAGGGAATGATAAAACCCTACATAGCTTCCTAACAAAAACCAAGCAGCGGCACGTTTACCCTCTGACAATACTCTTAACACTCAGTGTCTATAGTCAAGAGTTATATTTACTGACATCAGAGATGAAATCACACTTCATCGGTTTTACACAGAACAACTATTATGATATAGATCAACCGCTCTAAAATTTTGTTGAAACAGGCAAGGGCCTATACACATCTTGGTGTTTGTTCAGAAGTTTATCTGAGATTTCCCATATCACAGATCAATACTAAACACAGAAGCATTAACCATGTAAAGCAAGAACCTCTATGTTAAATGCCGGGAAATACCTACACGTTATTGACAAATGATTTAAAAATTACACTGACGCAACCAACATTTCAATTGAATTGCAAGAAATCTACAAAATGTGAATGTGCAAGAAGCTGAAATGGATTAAAAGATATCTTTTTAAATAGTTTTAATTTAATACAACCGACTCACTGTAAATTGTATATCTTTCTCATTTTAAGGTGAAACGCACATTATTGTATTAGTGGTTTACATTGATTATATCAACATTGTTTTACAAGGACAAGAATTGACCGTATCACCATCTTCATCACCATCATCATCTAAATCTTTACCATTTCATCATAATCATCACCATCATCACCTGCCATCATTATCACCATCATCATCACCACCGTCACAATTATCACCATAATCATCATCACCATCATCATCATCATCATCATCATCATCATCATCATTATCATAATTAGCATTCTTCAAGTTGATATATGCAGTCTCAATTACGCTTATACCTATCCCAACCTACATCATCATGCAAAGAAAAAGGTTTGCTTAAATGAGAATTACTAATGCATTCACGAGGGAATATGATATTCTGTTTAATGGGGCGTTTACAATTGAAATCAAATTATTGATAAAGAGCAGGGGGTATTGAAGGTTGGATTGTGAGAGGAGCATGGTTATTGGAAAGAGAGAAAGTGCGTCCACATAACCGCGTGTCCCATCCAAGGATATGGTATAGTGTAATACGAATGCATATTCCGACGAAATTAACAAGATTTTTTTTAATTATACCAATTATCTTTAGTCTCTCACAAATCACCTTTGGTCGTTTACATCTATAAACAAACAATATTGATGTTGGATTTTATATACTAATAATGCCACAAAGTATCAAATAGCTGTATACGTTGACAAACCCTTTTGGAGGTGATAGTTGTTTGGGTTATTTGGTTTTTCTTTATGGCTATTTTAACAACAACATGAACAATATAAATAATAGAATAATAGGTAATGAAACCGCTGCAGCCATACACTGCAGTCATACACGTTTAGTCTTCAGTCGTCTATGGTAGTTTGTTTAGGGGATGTCTGTATTTGGGCAGCATGTCATTCACGTACAGGGTATTTTCGTTACGGTGATAGTTTTAGTAAAATTCTTGAATACTTTTGGTGATCATTACTTAAGATACGGATTTTTCTTTTCTTTTCTTCTTCACTTTACACAGATAACTATTGAAGGTTACAGTGGGAATAGGGAAAGATATCAAAATAATTAGAGAAACCGTAAAACAAAATTCGGGAAGAAAAAAAAGCAAGGCATGTGGAGAGACTGTGTGATATAGATTTAGATTGTAATGGAGGTACTGAGTGAGAGTGGTAGAAGGGGAGAGAGGGGAACGATGGGGAAAAGAAGTAGAGGAGGCCAAGGGAGAGGGTGAGAGTGGAAAAGGAAGCGAGAGGGGCGTAAGTGAGAGAGGGTGAGAGAGAGGCAGAGAGTCGAAGAAATTGGAAGAGAAGGTGGCAAAGAGGGTGTAAGGAGAAAGAGGGTGACAGATGGTTAGATGAGGGAGGGGAGGAGAAGGATGGAGAGACACAGAAGGGTACGAGGAGGGGGAAGAGAGAGAGAGAGTGAAAAAGAGAGAATGAAAAAAAAAAGATAACAAGAAATTTTTCAAAGAGCGAAAGAGAGACAAAAAGTGAGAGATGAAGATACATGAAAAAGGGAGATCTAGGAAGATATAAAAAGCTTAGTGTTATTAATGAAAATCAAGTCATTATTGTGTGAGCTTATTTGCATAATCCTTTCTTCCTAATAGAAATAACAGTGATTATTAATATTATATTAAGCTTCTCCAATTAAACGGCTTGAATTTTCTCCTTTTCCTCTTATTTTGTGCATTATTAAACCCTTTTTATTCTCTTCTCCCACCCTGTTTTCCCCCACATTTGCCATTATTTGTTTGTCATTATAAGCAATTAGCATGGTTTAGTGAAACACTAACTAGAAGCAGTAAAAGTTAATGATCCATAAGTGGAATTTGCAAATATTTATGGCATTTTATGTCCTCGTTCCTTCCACTAATTTTTCGTGCAGTACATTCAGATAAGGACATAATTGGGGATCATACACAGCGCCATCAATCTCCTCAGATAGTATATGGGTAATTTTAAAGGAATCGGGTA